TGCCGCAGCAGCAGCCACATCAGCTGCGGCAGCCGCAGCAGCAGCCGCAGCAGCAGCCGCATCAGCTGCGGCAACCGCAGCAGCAGCCGCAGCAGCAGCCGCAGCAGCAGCCGCAGCAGCAGCCGCAGCAGCAGCCGCAGCAGCAGCCGCAGCAGCAGCCGCAGTCTCCTGCAGCGCCTGGAATGCGGTCATTCGCCGATCTTGGTGCTCGACCTCGTCAGCAGCATATGCAATACGTGCATCTGCCACTACCAGCACCACAACAGCAAAGATATTTCAGTGCACCAGCACCACAAATGCCTCGCCAGGACCTCAGACAGCCGAGAGGAACCTTCCCCGATACTGCGGCGCAGTCGAGCCCAGGCACTTCAGAAGCCCCAGCGCTTGATAGAGGGGAGAGGGGGGCTGCAACTACGGCAAGCCATTCCTTACATAGAGAAGGAGGAGACTGGGGAAGTGCAGCTCCTAGAGGGGCATACTCCCACGGTCGTGGACGAGGGGGGAGGGGAGGCGGTGCCGATAGGAGGGCTCCTCCTCCCTTCTCTCATAGAGGAGGACACGGGGGAGGTGCAGGTGTATCGACCTTCCCCTCTAGGGGCGCAGGTGAAGGGATGCATCCCTTCTACAGAGGAGGGGGGCGAGGTGCAGGCGGACGGGCAGGCGCACGGGCAGATAGTCGTGGTAGGGGACGAGGACAGTGGGGGGGAGGCAACTAGTAGGATCCACTCCTTCTCTGGAGGGGAGGGTGAATGTGCAACGAAGAGAAATCCTCCCTTCGGTCGTGAACGAGGAGGGAGGGGAGGAGATGCTGATAGGAGGGCCCCTCCCTTCTATAGAGGAGAGAGGAGCGGTGCTGGTTTAGTGACGCATTCCTTCTCTCTAGGCAAGGGGAGGCCCGCTTGACTGCAGGCGTCACGGGACAGATCGCCTGGGTGGCCGCCGCCAGCTTCGAAGCAACGCCCGCCGGGACAGCGACCTCAGCCTGAAGAGGAGGGGCAATGGTAGAGTTAATGGATTCAACATCTAAATGCATTTACATGTATATATATCTATATACTTTTTGCATATATATGTGTGTATATACGTACATATTATATATATATATATATATATATATATATATATATATAGAGGGTTTTGTTTCGTTGATAGGAGTGCTGCGACGTAGGGAGCCGACGAATAGGGTTTGTTTGTGTGTTTTGTTGTTTGATTGGCACTGTTTTGTTAGCGCGATCCATTTGTTTAGGGTTTTTGTTTTATTCCCACTGCCATTCGCTTTCCTAAAGAGGAAAAAAGATCACACAAACACTCTTTTCAGCAGCTGCTTCTCGGTCGGCTCTTTGTATTTTGTATTTTGTTGTATGTTTCTTTTAAGTTGCTTATCTCGGCTCCCTAGCCACCGTAAGGGGACAAAGGCAAAGTGACGCCATTCAAAAGGAAGGCTTCCCTAGCGTCGCGCCGGACTTCTTCTCATATCCATAGTGTGAAATTACGGATGCGCGTTTTGTGGTGACTGTGCACAGTTGTATTTGCACGTGCATTTGTCTGTGAGATATGGGGGCTGCAGCAGATGTTACTGCAGCACCAAGGAGAATAACGTCCTCTGTGTTGCAGCATCAGGAGAGTGAGCACTGCTGCTGCTCCACTCCTAGCCTGCTGAAACCGCAGCGGGAGAAGCTGCCAACATGACTCGCATCGCGCCTTGTCACCGGTTCCTGCGTTTCATGACACTCTGAATGAACTGCGGAGGACAAGCGCTGCATTCAAAGCGTTGTGTTTTCCCTTAGGTCGCCCGATGCAGAGAGCAGAAGATTGCCCTGAGGGCTCCCATGGGGCCAGGGGCGCTGATGCTGCATTGGCATCATTACCCTCAATGGCAGCATGATATTTTTACTATAATGACAGAGAC